TCACATAAACAAGCTCTTGGAAGCTTTACATCTCGCCATGGGGCTTCGTATAAAACTAAACGAGCTTCTCTAGAACCTATTTCCTGAACACAACGTGGTCGGCCAGTATGAGGATCTGGTTCACTTGTACATGTGGTGGATTCGCCTAAACTGACATTGTGCAAGGTCAATCGCACCCTTTCATCAGCACCAGCTTCTATACGATATCTGCAATCTAATTTTGAAGATCCTCCTCTTCCAAAGAGACGAACGTCACGGGGGGATATCACATCACCGCTTCGAACTTTTCGCCAAACTCTACTGCAAACTCCATCTCCCCAGGGTTCACCAACTTGAATGGTAGAGATAAATTCGTATTGTGCCTATACAATATCATAATATTTTAATACTTTAATAATAACATAATAACAACAAACAATAACATTTCAATAAAAAAATAAGATTATAATATCATTATAATATTATTATAATATTATTAGCTTACATTAAAGTTAACCGTATGAAGTGCAGTACCCAACAATGTTTCCATACGTAACGTTAAAGATGGCGCAACTGTAATATAACTTTCATCTTGTGTGCATGGTCTCGTACTTCTAGTGACATTTCTCAAAGCTGCGTGTGCACATAATTTAGGTGTGTCGTCGCAAAGAGTAGCCATTGGAAGTCCAGTAGTTGAAGTACCATCCCAAAATATCAATTTTATCGCACAAGATACATCAGATTGAGAACTGGCATTGTTCTCGACACTACCTGTTAAGTCTCGTTGCGAGTATGAAGAAAAATAAATCCATACTCTGTCTCCGACAGATCCTTTAATATTCCAAGTACAACTGGAATTTGGTGGCAGTGCATGAAGTGGTGCTCTTAATATACCGCTTCTTTTGTTAGTACCATTTACAAAAAAATGGCAACCCTGTGAGCCTTTCGCATAATCAAGCCCATCAGAGTCAACATAAATCACTTGAATTTCTAGTTCAAGTCTCAAAGCAGAAGCGCCAAGAGGAATGGCTATTGGAGAACTTCGAAATTCCACTTGCATTGTTGGACCTCTGGCAGTGATCCTTGGTAAAGGTCCTCCACAATAAATCAATAAAATCGCATCTTCCGGTCTGACACCATCACGAAAGATAAGATGATCTTTTTCCAGAGGACAATCTTGCCATACGCTTAAAGTACTATTAGCTGTGGTTATTCCAACTGGACCAGTCGGTGTCGATCTCACTGAAATCATAGCATGCTTACAAGTAGGCACCTCTTTCTGTCTTATATTTATCGAGCAGCTTGCATTTCTTGGATATTCCCCAGGATAATTTGGACTTTGCAGTCTACATTGTTTTAAGTGGCATTCATAAAAGTTCCTAGAGCAGTAAGTACCAGGCACCGGAGAACCTCTTTCAATTGGAAGTTCGGGCTTGCCTAATCTAGCAACAGCTTCATTTCGTGACACAAATCTATATCTTAAACGAAACTCAAATGGTACAGTGGAAGGTGCATGAAACAATCGTATGGATGCCGTGACGGTACTGGTTTCGCTATAGTAAGAAGCTTTTCCTTCTCCCACTCCACACCAAGAACCACCAGTAAAATGTCTACCCAATTCTGCCAATTGCAACGATCCTTCTGGGCAATTTGTGATAAAACTATCAGTGTTCGGATCTATTCTGCCTACGCTGAAAGCATCCCACAAAAGTTGTACTAATTCACCGTATCCCTGACCAGCAGCAGTAAATGTTAAATGACAAAGGAATGGCAGACGTTCCTCGGCAGGTCTCGGAAGATCCAATTTGTATGTACGTCCTTCATGTCCGTGATACGTACGGTTACAAGGTGTACACATTGCTGGTTCGTCACTATTATCTCCGCAATCATCTCGTCCATTGCAATACGCGTCAATCGGTACACAATGCCCATCCCGGCAAGTTAATTCGGCCAGACCGCAATCGCCAGCTGTCACGCAGTCTATCCATCCAAATAGAAATATATACAGAACTAGAATAGTTATACGAAATCGTTTATAACCACCACCAGCATCAGCTATCTCCTGTAAACAAAGATTGATGGTTCTTTATAATATAAAGGAAATTATTTTTTTATTTGTAATGCCCTTTAACTTTTTGAAATTTTTTTCTTTCTACTCCCCAAAAATTTTTCTCCTCTCCATTCTGTTAAAATTATTTATTTTACAATATCAAACATATGAAATAAATAATTAAAATATTGTTTTTTTTTATTTTTTATTATCATATATAACATATTAATTATATGAATTATTAATTTTCTATTTTTTCATATCCATGTTTAACCTATTTTATAAAGTCACTTTATAAAGTAATGAGAAATTCTATCACATGATAGTGTCTTGTAAAAAGGGGAAAAGAGCCATTTACCGAAGTAGGTGAACAAGTTAAATCAAATACTTGGACTACATTGCATAAAGGCCCAAAGTGTACCAGCAAACAATGCGTTTCAATTTTCGAGATAGTACTTGGTTATCCCTCTTATCCTTTGTATATTTACACAATAAAAAACACTTCATACGCACGCGCGCGGTGAAAGTTTTTCATTTCTAGTATAGTCATTTTTATAATTTTATGATTTTATACAGTCTCAATTTAAATATTTATTACTTATAATACATATATATTAAACAAATGAAGATAAATTCTTTGTTCTTTTTTTGTACGATATACATGTATATCATATAAAAATTCATTGGAATATATCGTATTAAATCTCATGTTTCAAAGAGATTTCAAATCTTTGATATTCATTTGACTTCCGTATTTATCTGCAGGAATCATTCTACAAGATGTAACTTAATAAAATATATCTAGTCATTTCATATTGCAAAAATTAAGTAAATCTGCAGCAAAATTAATAAAGAAAAAATAAAAGAAATTTAATATAAACGATATAAAAATAATATAAAAACTACTAATCACTTATAAATAATTTATTCATGTAAAAAAATTATAATTATTGGATAAGACTAAGAAAATATAGATTTATTTCGAATCGGTGCTAAATTTTTCAACATACATAAAGAATGTATTTTTCAAAATGTTTTTTTCTAATCTTTGTAATAATATGTGAATTATTTACCATAATCGTCTGTCAGTGAAACGAACATCACAATAGTAAGTCTGAATCGATGACACTGAATTGTTTTATATTTAACGGATTGTGTGCTCGAAAAATGGTTCAAGCACGTCGAAATTTGTAATTTCGACGATAATGATAACCGACATATTTATGACACTATTAATTGATATCACTACAAATAATATATCAAATCGAGAATTCCATATAAAAAAATAAAATGTAACATGATTCTTTTTTCAAAATATATACAACGAATTGTATAATATATCACAAACAAAAAATGAGCAAAAAGGAAACAACGTTTGTACCAAACGAAAAGTCCAGTGACCGAATGCAGATCTACACTGTGAAAAGGTTGATGCGCAACTGCACAGTAGAGGAAAGCCCGGAGGGCAGCCTCGTTGCAAGCTATACCGGGGTGAGGGTGATGAAACGAAACGGGGCTGAGCTCATGGGCCTGGCGCCTCAATGCATCGATCGCCGTTCGGTCCTTTCCTCTCCGTTTTAACGCCCTAAAACTCGCTACATACTGCAGTGACGTAATTATCAATATTGACACCTGGATGTATGGCAAAAATATTTGTTTAATGATGATCTCGAATTTATTTAAGAAAATTCTTTCTAAAATAGCTAAGATTTATAAATTATTGTTTTAAGTATTACTTCATTTAGATATGTGGAATAAAATTTTAAAAGTCTGAAAATTTAAGAAAAAAAGGATATAAATAAAAAATGATAAATGATCAATATATTAATAAATATATATAATAAAACTTAAATCTTAATATTTGAATTTTCTTTATTTATCGAATTAATATGATACATGAAAATATCATAATTTTTCTTCATATATTTTCTCTTTTTTTAAACGGTATGTTTTTAAATGAAACTTCATATTTCATAGCCTACTTATTAGTTTGAAGGTTAAATGGGGATAATATCGTTGCGTTACCCTCGATACGCTTCAACACACGGATTAACTTCGCACATCAAAGCTTATTGAGAAAAATGCGAACTACAATATTGAACGCTATTGATGACGAATTGTAGGTCGAAAAAGAAATGTATGCATGAAAAAATAATAGTGGAAAAAAGAAATGAGCTCCCAGTTTTCTCGTAAAAAAATAATACAGAGAAAATATAGATACATTTAACCTTGGAATTGAAAATAGTGAAAGAACTTCGTTCTATTTTTTGAAAATTTATAAATAAATACACGATTTATATTGAATTTATTTTTAAAGTAAATAAAAAAAATTTTCACATATTTACATAAAATATTCAATTTTAATCTAAATATTTAATTATATTTAAATAATTTAAATGCATAAAAAAATGATAATTTAACGTGAATAATTTAAGTTAAGACAATATATTTAAATTTATGTAAATGCTATATATAATACTGAAGTAGGTCAGTGAAATGTTTTCTACATTTTTTCTTCGTTACACATCAGTATAGGTTTAGTCTTTTTGCTCACTAAATTTAAAACTCACTAAGATTAAAAAAAAAGAAAAAAAAAATTAAGAATGTAAAAAATTCTTAGGAATAATATTTCCAGAATATAAAATGTTGTTGGCAAAAACATGTATTTTTCAACATTGCAATCATTATTTTATAGTTTCGTCAAAATTTGTAGCATACACATCTGATATACATATCGAATTGTAGAGATAGTTGAATATATAATTTTATCCTATCAAAAAGATTAAAACTTTCAACTATATTATTTTATAATGAAACGAAAAATATATAAAGTAAAAATTTACATACTCAATTTAATTTAAAAATCTATTCGTTTACCATAAGTAAACTTTTTTTAAATTTAAGTAAAGCTTTTTTTTAAAATTTTTCTATCATATCTGTCACATAAAACATTATTCGTATTTATTACACATTATGCATAAAAATTTTTATTAATTTTTTTCTACCTATTAAAAATAATATATATATAGAATTTCTTTTACAAATGATTAAACAGTGCGCGTATTTTCATTATTATGAAAAACATGTTGGATTCATAAAAACGGAATGCAAATTTGTTAAATATAACACTTACTAATTCGGTAATAAATTATAATAAAAAGAAAAAAAATTAGAAGGCATATCGTGTACGAATATCCTCGAGCTTTTTCGATACTTCAGAAGCTGTTCGTTCGAGATCACTCGATATACTTTTTTGTTTTGCTGGTTCAATGGAATTAAATTGTTCACAAAGATCTCCATCTATAACGTTCTTTATAGGATAATAATAAGATCTAAATGATAAATGATCTCTTCCACAAAGTGGGGGATGTTCCGAACGCATATGCATTTCCAAATGTTGGAAAAAATCATGATCTTCATGACTTGTAAAAGGAACAAGAACACCAACTGTTCCACTTAATGTCGTATATACTAAACTTTCAGAACCACCAGGAATAAGGGTTGCCTTTTGTAGAGACATAACTGTTTCACCAACATGAAAACAAGCAACTGTATCCGCTTTTTGACTGGCACCATTTAATAAACCTCTATCCCATAATGCTTTATTTCCAGTTGGATCTTCATCCACGTCATCATTAATTCCACTTGCTAAACGTATCTATTAAAGAATATTTAAATATAAAATTTAAATATTTATTCAAATCATCTCTTATTCCTAATTAATTATTGAAGTAAATGTTGTTATATTACTTACAACAGCAATATTTCCAAACTTATCAGCAGTAGCAACAGTATCATAATCTAACACGCACGTTGTAGTTATCCATCTCGGATGTGTATCGTCGGCGAAAACTATAAGTTGATTTTCTTGACGTTTATATCTGACAGCATACACAGATTCTTGTACATCACTCACATAAATTCTTTGTCCAATTGCATTGATAGATACAACAGCATTAGGAATATGTTTATTTTCACATTTTCTTAACAACTTTTTCTTGCCCATATCATATAAACGCAACATTCTACCAACACCAACTAATACTCTTCCTTGATATGGACATATAGCCAAAGGTACTTCATCCAAAGTGGTTTTGTGCACTAATTCGAGATTAGTGCATTCGCTATTAACTCTGAAAGAAAGATTTACTATAATATTTGTTTTTCTTTTTAATATATATTTTATATTGAATTTATATTTCAGAACTGCAGGACTTTTTCATCAAATTGCATTGCAGTAATTGTGTTTTTTTTCATCATAAAAATTTTTGTAATATTTTTTCATTTTTTTTATATCTTTATATTTTAATTATTATATTAATTATTTTTATATTTTACTTTTACATGTATTAATTAATTTATTTTAACATATTAATTATATATTAAAACATGTTTATTATTATAGATTATACTTACTTGTATGTATACAGAAAACCACCACTGCTAACTCTTGGATTCAATTGAAATTCTTTCGCAATACCAACTATTAGAAATAGTTGATCACCCTGATTAGCAAATTTTACAAGGCTTAAACTGTAATATAAATTCATTTAAAATAATAACAATAATAATTTTTTTCTAAAATAATGATATATTCATTTTATATACTTGAATGTTTATTTATATTTTTACCATAAAGCAGCTAAATTTTGCTCAAGTCGATGAACTTCAAATGTTTGCCCTGTTGAGGGAGCAATTATTCTTATTAATGATGCCCATAAGCCTGGTCCAGCTCTTGGTGCACCAAATACAGCTTCATTGGGTTCCTCGGATAAAAAAGCCTCCGCTAATTCTCTTGCTACTACAGCCTCTTCTGCTCCCGCAGCTTCTTGCATTTCTTCTGCCATTTGCAATCTTCTCTGTTGTTTTGTTTCTTCTGTGTATGCATTGTGTTCCGTTTCAATAATTATTAGATGTGCAGAGTCCGAGTGAATTGCGAATTTTCTCGGAGTATATTCCAATGGAAAACTAATTTGATTGAACACCGCACCTAACTTTTCGAGGGCAAGAATTCTAAGTGTATTTGTCGAAATAGCAACAATTCCTTCGGGGCATTGTTCAGAACTAAAGCCTGATGCGAATTCTAAACTTTCATAGGATAGTGGTGTTAAATGAAAACGATTCTGATAATAATAACTCAACCATGATCTGCTGCTCATTGCAAGTACAGCTTGATTTCCCTGCATTTTTATCCTAAATAATTTCACGGCTCGGGAACCCAAGTATCGCGTCCGCGTATCAGCGAGATCACCCGAAATTGGATCTAGTACTGTTCTTAACAAAACACCGTTTTGTAGACCTAATAGTACATATTTAAGAAGAATGTTATGAAAAATATTATAGAAATAAAAACTATAATATTATTTTTAATTATTTGTTTACCTATATTTAAATAAAGACTGGATTGCTGAAGTGATAATTCTTCAGAATTATTTGCATCTTTAGCACCCATTTCAACAATACATAAACTTTCCGCAGCTGCAGGTAGAGCTTGCATACTTCTAGGTGCTAAACAATCTGAAGGATCTAAAGAAATGATCCTTACTGTATTATCTTGAAGACCAACTGCTAAGAACCATGATCTTTGTTCACCAATTGCTACATTACCAAGAGCCATACACATTACTTCTGATGGCATTTTTTTTCGTTCTGTATATTCATTTAATTGCCCAGTCTAAGAAATATAAAATAGTAAAGATTACTAAACTTAAATGGATTTAAAATTTTTCCATTTTTTATCTAGTTCAAATAATGAATATTTCATTAATTAAAATGAAAAATAATATATTATTTGTATATATTACGTTTTCTTTTTTTGAGAATAATTAACATTGTAAAAAAAAAATTTAAAAATAATATAATATTAATAAACATGAATTAAAAAATTAATACACATACGGGATCCATTTCAAAATATACCAATTCTCCCCCGGTGAGTGCAATTACAACTTGACGTTGATTCACTGCACATTTCACTATAGTCTTTTTACCAGGTGCTTTCCATTCATTTACACGTTTATCTGCTCGAATATGACGTATTCCGTCAGGATATACCTAAATAAAATATGATAAAATTATAATAATAAATTAATAAATAATAGTTTATTAAGAACAAAAATATTTTAACAATAGGAATTATGTCGAGTTTAATTTACCAGAAATATTTAGAGAAATTATCTAAATATTCAACGATGCAAGAAACTCTATATAATCTAGCACTATTTATTGCGACCGATTCGTGGTAGACCAGGAATCGGAGATACCGTAGTGCGAAAGAGAATTATATTATCTTTACATACCTGTACCAAAGCATCTTCACCTAAAGCAGAACAGCTTAGAGTTGGCGTGGTACCAAGAAATCCAGAATCAGTCACTTCTTCTACAGTTTCTCCAATACTAAGTACAAGAGTAGCATTCACGAAGGACACTATGATGTAAGCATCATACTCCTCTGCAATCAAAATTACAAAGCTCACTCTGAATATCTAAGAAAAATAAAGATTTGAAAACGAAATTCGATAAAATAATAGAAATCATCTCTTCATAAACGGTTGAACACGCTGTTTTTCTCATCCTACATGCAAAGAGTAGATGGTTTTTGGATGTAAATTCAATTTCTTTAATCTCCGGCAATTTTGACAGTCCTTACCTTTCTGTCATTTTCTGTGTTCTGAAGTTCAACCAATACCATGCTGGTAGCCTGAAAGAGAGAACTGGTGTTTGATAAGAGTGTATCAAGCCACCAGATTTATTAGTATCATTTACAAAATCAACTTCTTCATTCTCTTTTGCATTTTATTTTTTTATTGAAAAATTGTAGAGTTAAAATAGAATAAGTAATAAAATAATTTCCTCTTTAGGACAGTAGACAAAAAGATTCATGGAATTATTTTTATTATTAAATTTTTATTTTTTTTTTTGTCATTCAAGTAGAATTATTTCGTATTCTAAATATCTCCACAATTTTTTAATGTCATTCATTTTAGATTACCACAGTGAAATATCCATATCCGCAAAGAATAGATTCTAAAATTCTCTGCGGATACCTGAAATTGTAAATAGTAGCAAATGCTATATATTATAAATATCTATGATAAAATTTAACTCTATTTAATTTTATGATAAAATTAAGCACAATTTAACAAATTATTAACAAAAATAATAAATTTATAAATAAAATACAATAATTTCATAATAACTAATAATAAAAATAGAAGAGATAATGATACATAAATATTTATAATTATAATATATTGCATGTATGATGAGATGAAGTAAAATGAATGATATAGGCAATATAATATTTTATTATTATTATTAACTACGAATAATTTTTGTTCTTGTAAGTAATAGAAATTAAAAGATTTTCTATTTAATTTTTTTTAATCATTTCTAATCACAAAGTGAAATTCAGGATTTTTATGTATTGTATTAATTTCTAATTGAAAAATTTTATAATTATTTAAAAAATTGATATTAATCTATATTTAAAAATATTCAATTTTTATTTAATTAATATCCCAACTTATTTTAATTAAATTTAAATAACAATTATTACGAAGAACTGATTTTGCTGTAGATGATAAAATAAGCAAAGTATAAATATTACAATAAGAATGGATATTTTCATTGCAAAAAATAAAACTAAGCTAGAAATATTTTATTTGCATTATTGTTTAAGCATATAATGAAAAAAAAAAACATGCAAACGACTATTGCAGAAGATGTTTCTAAACTAACCATCGACTCTTCTTTTAACAGTCCACACTGCATTTGGATTACCAGGTAGTTCACTAACAGCCATCTCAGATACTTCTAAACCATGTCGTAACACTCGCAATGTAGATCGTGGTCCTCTACCACAAGTTATATATAATTGTGGGGTATCTTCATTTGCTAAATCAGCTACCTATATAAAAATAATAAACTTCATATATATAAGTATTATTTATTACAAAAATTTCCAAATAAAAATATAACATATTCCCGAATTTTTATGTTTTCTATTATTAATTTTATCATTCAAATTTCGCGTTTTTAAAAGCACAATAAAATGCAACAATGAATATATTTATTTTTTTATTATATTTATTTTGCATCTAAATATTATACTTTTTTTATTTTGTATATGTTATTCTTAGGTTCAACTTCAATTTGCAAAAACAAATTAAAGGCGACTAAGAATATTTTATTGTTGCACCTCTCACAAAAAAAAAACACATAGAGTATTAATTTTTTACTTGAAAGTGCATTAACATTTATTTAATATAAGTAATATTATTATTCGTATAAAATCACCTGACACGCCATTATAGGTGATAAACTATCCATTTCATCAACTAGTACTAAATTTCTAAGTGGTCTTGGTGCAAAAAAGAACGTATCGCCTTCTTCAAGAGGCATGGCAGAACTAAATTCTGGTTCATCATCATCATCTCCTAAATGTGCAATTTGATAGAGATAACTAGAAAAGATATGAAAAAATATACAAGCATGTTTGAATTAAAAAATATGACTCTTCAAATAATACACTTACTGATTACCAAATTCAGAAGCTACGAATAAAAAACCTGTTTTTAAAACGCACATACTTGCTGCTACAGGTACCGTATCAAAGTACTTTAATTTAATTTCAGTCACCATATCTTCATCTGTTTCAAGTGTAATCTTAAAAATGTCTCCTTGTTCTGTTTGAGCCAAAAAGAAAAACATGCTTTTAGTTTTATGAGTAGCAGAACACACGAATATCATGCCCCTTTCAGGATCATCTAAATCATTACGTCTCCTCGGAATTGGGCAACGAATATCATGTTGATCTCCTAAATTTTTATATGTTAGATAATTTTCAGAACAAATAAGAACACCACTTGGTCCATCATTTCCTCCTGGGACAGATACAAGGAAATTTGCATGTTCTTCCAAAGGTTCACTATATTTACGTACAACATGATTTAAACCAAGATCAAGTTCATATAAAGTTAAAGTTTGTTGTGTTTTTACTGCTGCATCTCCTGTAGGATCACTATCAGCTTCCTAAAATGTTATATAAATTAAATATCATTTCATTCAAAATAATGTTTAATTAATAATTAATATTTAATTATAATTACATTTATTAAATTTATTAAGAAATTATTTTATATTACTATATCTTTTAAAAAAGTTAATATATTACCTCATAATCAATTTCTAGACAAGCAAACATAGGATTTTCAAAACCTACATCCACTCCCACAGTATGATAAACTAATGTATTACTCTTATGTGCTTCCAAAGGTGAAGAAATTGTAAGACGAGCTTCTGGATCTCTATTTAAAATGTAAACAAGCTTTTGTTTCTCAATGGCACCTACAAAAATTTGCAAATTTTTTATGGATAATAACTGAATTACATTATTAAAAATATTTTCACAAATAAAATGTATCATCATTAAAAATGATTATAATCAATGTTAATCAGTTGAAACACGGACAATACTAATCATTTGATATAAAAAATAATTATTTATATAATTTACTCAATTATGTATACTATAACATATAATATATAAATACCTATCATTACAGCTCTTCCTTTAGGATCTATAGCTAAGTATTGTCCAGGTACAATGCGTCTACATCCACTTTTTCCAAATGTTTCTTGATGTACTTTCTCAAAAACATTTTTAGCAGGAATATATTCTAAAATTACAATGCGTCCAGAATCTGATCCAACAACAATGTAATCTTTTGTACCACCAGTTAATCTAAAGGCCATTAAAGACCTTATGATTCCAAATACTTCAACAGTTAAAAGAGTATGAACTTTACCAGTATTTGGATCTGGTCTTAATAATTCTAAAGATTTGCCACGTGAAACTAAAATCTCTTGCATTTTACTACCAGAAAAATTTCCATGCACTGCATGGGTAATACCTGTAGCACGCTGAAGAGTCAAGTTGTATAGATACATTTTTTTATGTATATTTTTTTTTCAATTAATCACAAGATGGAAAAATTTATTACTTTTCATTAGTACAAAAGTTCTACATCCATTCTGTAATTAATATTAGAAATAAAATAATTTAATTGACTTATAAAATTTTATGTATTAAATAAAGAATTTTTTTAAATCAATATTTATTAATACAGAAATATGAATAATATAATCAAATATATTTATAAATAATAATTTCACATAAAAAAAAATATATTCCGATCTTTTTTTTAGTTTTATTAAATAAAATGTTTTAAATTTAAATAAATTAAATAATTTAATAATTTTCAATAAAAATATTCAAAAATAATAATAACAATTATTTACTACATGTGTGATATTAAAATGTAAAAATGAACATGAGAAAATTTTATATATATATAAGTAAGTTTTAAAATTAAATATGAAATAAAAAAATATTAAAAATTTTAAATATAGAATAATTTAAAAAATATTATTTTACCTTGTAGTTGAAAATATTTTTCAACTTTACATACGATGCTTTCAGATAATTTAGCTCGTCTCAGATCAACAACCATAATCAACGACCAACTTTGTCTCATTTCAGATTCGTTTCTACCATAATATATGATATAAACGGAACGGAAACTAACATGATTTATAATAAGTTACAGCGCTATCTAAAATCTTATATTGGAATTAAAATTATTATTAATATTATATTTCAAATACTTAAATAAATATTTAGTTTAATTATTTTACTAAATATATACATATTATATATTATAATAAAATTCAATTATTTTAATTACATTATAATTATAAAAAATAAATAAATAAATGTTTTTTTATATTTAAGATTCAAAAGTATAATAATATTTGGTAATAATATTTATTTAAATTTTATATTATATATAATTATAAATCTTACTTTTATATACAAATTGTATTTAGAATAACTTATATTTTTATCTATTTATATATCTTTTTTATCTATAAATTTAAATATAAATATAAAATGCTATTGGAAAGAAAATTAATAGAAGCAAGACAATACAAAAGCAAGAAAATTATTTCATTAATTCATTGTTATGCAACATTATATATTTAATATATTAGAGCTTTCTAACCAACAAGCATTCCTATTTTATGATTGTATTAGATCTATTAGAAATAACCAATTAGATTTATATTCCTTCAAAAAGTATTTTTTCAATATTGAATTATGAATCATAACATGGATGTGCAATGTTATTTAGGATCAAGTTAAAAAATATATTTATTGTATGAATAATTAAATTATTAAATTAAATAAATAATAAATTAAATAAATTATTAAGAAAAGACTAAGATTTAAAATGAATAATATTAAAGTAATAACGTTTAAGCTATTAAGAACATATTTCACTAAATCTAAATGTGAATCTATTGGTATACATAGAAAATTAAAAACATCGAAAATGAACGAATTTGACAATAATTTTGAAGAAATGGATCAAGAAGATGGTGAAATATACGATTCTGATTTTATGACAGTAGATACATCTTATAAAAATAAAATCAGGTACATATAAAGTAACATTGAATTTTATTTTATATATTATCAATTTTTTAAAATAAATTTTTAATATAATTTTTAGAGAAAGTAAGAGAATCCAAGAACAACTAAAACGTTGTATTGTTAAAAATAAAGTTTTTAAAGAAATAGAACCAAATTTTCTTACATATGTTGAAAAGGATCAAATAAAAAAACTATATGAAAATAATCCTGAAGAATGGACACCTGAGAAACTTAGTGAAAGTTTTCCAGCTTTACCTGAAACCATAAAAAAAATCTTGAAAATAAAATGGATACCAAAATCAGTAGAAAGAATTCTACAATATGATAATAAGGTTATAGAAAATTGGAAACAATTAAAAACTGGAAAATTGGTAGTAAATGATACCTTAAAACAACATTTAATGAAATTTAAAAATAGAAAAATTCAATTATGTGATAAGGAAACTTTAATGAAAAATTTTATACCTCCAGAAATAAAACTTCCAAAACCCAAAAATTCATTTTTTTCTAATATCATAAAAAACTCTACTGATAAAAAATCAATCATAGAAAATAAATTATTGATTTCATCACAGAATAATATAAATAAAGATAAAAAGAACTTTAATATAACAGAGAAGAAAGATATAAAATTATTCAAGGAAACAAATAATTCTATGAATATATATAAGACAGAAAAGTATAATACAAAAGAGAAAACATTATTGTTTGAAGAATTTATGAAAAACAAATTAAATAATCCGAATGAAATATCTCATGAAGAAAAAATAGCACTTATGAATATTTATAAAAAATATGTAGAATCTAAAAATTCAGAAGATACAAGTTTTAATATAATGAACAATATTAAAGAAGATTCTATTATTGAAAAAAAAAGCATTAGTATGACAAAGACTCTATCTGATAAAGATAATATTCAAAATATTAAGACAAATGAATTTAAATTAGCAACTAAATTAAATGACATAACTTTAGATACATATATAAAAGAACGAAATTCATTTATGGATACAAATTTTGAATATTCAAAACGTATAAAAATTCCCCAAAATGTTTATAAACAAGGTATGACATATAGGATAAAGGATTGTTATTATGATGATGATGGAGAATTTTTATATAGAATACCAGGATTAAAAGGAAACAGTTAATTAATGAATTATTAAAGAATTTTGTATATTTAATATTTTTATTATTGTATATTTAATATTAATATTATTATTATTATTATTATTATTATTATTATTATTTTAATATTTTAAATATATTTGTAAATAATAAGGATAAAATATATATAAATATTTTAAATATATATTGTATGTAATTATAATTGAATTAATGGAAAAAAAAAGGATTTAATATGTTTATTCTTCATTTATATTTCATTTGTATAAATTTATCTTTAATTATTTCATTTATATTATTAGACATTTTTAATTATTAATATGAAAATATTAACGTAAATCTTAAAAAATCTTAAAAAATCTTAAAGATCTATTGAATCTAAGTAACAAATAATATTATTTCATAAATTATAAATTAATATATTTTTATTTGAAATGTACAAATAGATATTGAAATATCTATATCATTATCAATACTATGAAATAGAAATAAACATAATATTTAATATATCAATACTTAAAATAAGAATATAAATAATGTAAGAATTGACCGTCAGCGCCAAATCTTGAATAATATATTTTTTCAATATTATTAGAAAGATGGCCCTAGTTTCTTACTCTAATTTATCTATCTTTGAAAAAATATCTTGTATTCGAAAGATATCCTTAACGGTTAATTGTTATTTTATTTTTATTCTTTTTGTATTTTATTTGTGATTTTTTGAAAATAATGTTGATTTTAATATTTTTACTTTATCTATGTTATCTATGTTATCTATGTTGTTTATCTATGTTACTATTTCTTTTTTTCTTTTCTATAGTTGTTTGGTATGTTTATTTATGCTTTCAAATGATAGTTTTAATATCTATAAATGTGATCTATAATAACAGACACTACAATATTTATAAAGGAATGTATCAAAAAAATTATTGATTTTAATAATAAATATAATCAATAAAATTGATTTTATTATTTTTTTATTAAATTGAATGTAATTCTTGAATTTAAAATCAACAGAATGCATATCGAGCACTTTGATTATTTGCAATCAATATTTCAAAAAAAAGAATACAAAGTTCCATCAAATATTATATAATCAAAAATTCTTACAAATCCATTAAATTTTGTGTCTCTATCATTTTTTATTTCATATTAATATTCGTATTAATATTTCGTATTAATAGAACGAAATGGCGCTCGATCTTGCCAAGCTTTAAGATTATCGAGTAAGAGATCACAGATATGTTTATGATTTGTTTTAATTTTTGTTGATAGATGTCCTTCCCATTAGCCGCAACATATTTTATGAAGATTTTTGATGTTGCAGATAAATCGTTCGTAAAATGGTAAATAATTATAATTGCTAACTGAACTTCTATATTTTATTTATATGAAATCATGAAATAAATTTATATGTTCTTTTTCTTCCATATTAATATGAGTTCATAAATATTTTATTTATAAATTGATTGCATTTTTTTATCACATATAGGTTATGTTATTTCGAGTAACTTTCATACTTTTCGTCTAATTGCATCATAAAATTTCAATTTCTCAGAATTAACCTATCGATCGATGTTTCGAACTTCATAAAAAAATAGCAATGAATTAATTAATTATATATAAAAAAATAGAATTTGTATAAAATGATAATTATTGTACAATAATAATTATTATGCAATTAGATATTGTTTATGAACTTTTTTATGAATATATATTTGTAAAATAAATTATTACATTTATAAAATTTTTATATTTGTAAAATTATCACAAAATGTTTTTTCTATATAAAAATTTATTTCTTACATATATTAAAAATATTTATTTTTTTGTTTTTAGTTTCAGAACTTTTCTATCTGTAGAGCCAGCCTTATAGGTATATCAAGATCTACTCGATCTAAAAAAAAACTTCCCAGAGATGGCTCAACAATATGTATTTACAATGTTTTGCTACGATCACAATTATCTCAAATCACAAATGTACAAAGTTTATCAGTGAGTTTCTTTTCAAAATGTTTTTAAAAAAAATTTATTAATTTGATTAATTACATTCTATCTCTTTAGATCAGATTCTATTCAAATCCAGCAAGGAGACCCAGTTTTTTTTCTCAATTTCTTGAGAATATCAAACAAGAAATGCAAAAAAATAAAGAGATGAAAGAATCTTTGAAAAAGTTTAGAGAAGAAGCAGAGAAATTGGAACAATCAGAAGCATTGAGATCTGCCAGACAAAAATTTCAAGCAGTTGAATCTGAAGCTACTAAAGGATCAGAGGCTCTGAAAGAGAAATTAGAATCTTTAAAGGAAAAAGTACAAATGAAAAAAAATATTTTATTATAATAAAATTTAAAAGTATTATACATATTAATCAAATGTATAGGTACAAGAAGTTCTTGAAGAAGCAAGTAAAACTGAATTAGGTAAAAAAGCTGGTCAGCTAAGTGAGGAAATATCAAAATCTGCAAAAGGAGCAGCAGAGACAATATCTGAAAAAAGTCAGGCTTTAGGTAAAACAAGTGCATTTCAAACAATATCACAAACTGTAGAAGCTGTGCGAGAAGAATTAGATCATCAAGGAATGCATGGTAATTATAATTAGAGAATTTACATATATAAATAATACATATAAATAATACATATACATATTACATATATAAATAATATAAATAATATAATATATATATATATATATATAAATAATATACATATATATATAAATATACAGTAATATATTTTTGTTTGAATCAATATTGTAGGAAAAGTGTATGTTCCACCTAAAAAATTAAGAAAAAGAAAAGATGTAATAGAATCAGTAGATAGCAAAATTGTTCAACCAAATGCAGAGGCCACAGGTGTTGAATTACATAAAGATTCTAAATTTTATCAATCATGGCAGAATTTTAAGGTATGTCATTTAATTTAAATTAAATTTATAGAATTGTTGATATTTATAATAATTATATTTTTTCAAGGATAAAAATCCATATGTGAATAAAGTATTAGAATGGAAAATCAAATACGAAGAATCGGATAATCCTGTAATTCGTGCCTCCAGATTATTGACAGAAAAAGTTACAGATATAGTCGGTGGACTATTTCAAAAGACAGATTTATCAGAAACACTAACAGAAATTTGTAAACTAGATCCTAACTTTGATAGAATACAATTTTTAAAATATTGTGAAACAGATATTATTCCAAATATTCTAGAAGCTATGGTTAGGGGAAATCTTGAAATTTTAAAAGACTGGTGTCATGAAGCTCCATATAAATTAATAGCACAACCATTAATACAAGTAGAAAAATTGGGATATCAATTAGATAATAAAATTTTAGGTATATTTTATGTTTCATATAAATATTTTACTCCATATAATTATTTCACATAGAATAAAATATTTAATTTCAGATATTAACAACGTAGATTTAATAATGGGCAAAGTAATGGAACAAGGACCAGTTTTAATAATTAGTTTTCAGTGCCAACAAATTATGTGTGTGAGAGATGCTAAAAAGAATGTTATTGAAGGAGATCCTGAAAAAGTAATGCGTGTTAATTATATTTGGGTATTGTGTCGTGATCCTACAGAACTTAATTCAAAAGCTGCATGGCGTTTACTTGATCTTAGTGTAACCAGTACTGAACAGTTTGTATAGTGTACAGTTTAGGTATGAATTTGATTGAAAATTTTAAAGAAATAGATGTGAATATGTGATTGAAAAATAAGTAAGAACTGTCACTTTCTTTTCTTTTTTTATGGTTTCTAATGCAATATGTATTGAAAGAGAAGCCTGAATGATGGATATTAATTCTTATGACTTAATGATTACTTTCAAATATACAAATTTAGTTCTGTAGCTTAAGCTATGGAAATGTTATAAATTTTATGTTGAATTTTGATTTATATATAAATTTATATAAGTATAAATATTATAATATTATAAATATAAAAGTAAATTATATTGTAGATATACTTATTAAAACACGATAGTTTATTATTATATTTTTCTAATATGTTCAAATAATACAATTATATTATTTATATAATTAAAATATAAATTAAAAATTTGTTATTTTTAGGATTATAAAGTTATCCTTATATATCAAAAGATAATTATCAATATAAATTACTGTACAATCATATTTTATAATCATATATAAGTATATCATTTGAACTAATGTACGAAAAAATAAGCAAATTTTAGTAACTAATTTCTGTACATATTTAAAATATTGATATTGACATTAAAATGCTAAAGAATAGAGCCTAACAAAATATATATCGGATGCCAAATATTTATTTTGCACGGATTATATAATATAAAAAATAATGTAAACATTTTATAAATCAACAAAGATTGTATATATTTTCATAATATGTTCATATTGCATAAAAGTGCATAATTTATTAGTATATTTATTATTTTTAAAATATGTAATATATTTGTTTTTTTTTCCAAATATCAATAAGATTATGATTATAAGTATATTGTACAAATAAATTCAATGTGTAAAATTAAAAAAAAAGATTTTGAAAAGGAAATTAAAATTTTTTTCATTTGGTCTTCTTTTCATATTGTTTTATAAACAAATTGCACAAAAAATGTTAAAATATAATATCTTTATTCATAACTAATTCATTTAATATATATAATTAAATTTTTTAAAAATTTTATATTGAGTCTAATTAAATACTGATGAAATTATTTAAAAATATTTCAAATTTTTTTTGTGTGGTTTTCCAACAAAATATTCTTTGAATATATATTGAATAATTTCTTTATAATATCAACAGTTTCATTTATATTTTTATTAAAAATTAGAAAATTAAAATATATTTATATTTCTATATTTGTTTCTATTTCCTTTATATTTCTTTTTCCTTATATTCATATGCAAACATTATTAATACAAACATTTTTTTTAAATATTAAAAATATTTAACCTATATATATATATGCAATATATTTATAATTTTATAATTATTAAAATATAATTTAATTAAATATTGTATATAACTGAAAAAAATATAATGGAACTACGAGTGCACATAGCTATAAAGATATAGCTAAATATTAATTAACGATAAATATATAAATATATAAACTAAAATATTTTTATATTTTTGTTAATAATATTAATTGAAAATGAATATAAAATATATTTAATATTGAGAAAAATTCTTCAAATTATTTATATTAAAAAATCTAATATTGATAATACAATAATTTAGTTGCTATTAATTGAGAGCCGCCATGATATGTATATGTCTGCCTTTTGTATCACCAATGCAGTAACGTAATAGAAGCATCTGGACGATCGGTAGCAATTCCATAAAGACGGATGCACATTTTTGGAATATTTTGATTTATTCGTGTTTTTTAATCATTTATGCGTATTGCCGAATCTGTATTAGTGAGATTTTTTAATGCATTTATGAATACGTAATAATATAGTTCGGTTCGCTTGCGTTCAAGAACACGTAACTGGTTGTTTCTTCAGAAACATGGCTGAATATCATTTCGATGGTGTGGTGAAATTGTGTGTACAGAATTATTAAAACGACATTTTGGTCTTAAATACGTTCACGTATTATAATAAAATGACATCGATACACTTTGTCGTACATCCGTTACCTGGAACAGATGATCAATTAAACGATAGGTAAGGAAACATATCTGTTATCGGTTTTTCATTAATATATCTAGTATGTCTGCTTCTCTCCGTATTGAAAAGATCTGTTCATTGTTCATTTTTAAATATGCTTACTCATATCAATTAGCATACATTTTCTATGTTTTTTCTTCGAATCTAAAATCTAAAACTTTCTAGCCTTTGCAATGACTAATAATTTAGCGGTATAACATATATCATTTAAAAGTTAAAGTTTGTTGTCACATCATTATATTTCTATTAAATGATACATATGTACCAATCATTGTAAATAAAAAAATACAAAAAAATATCGGAAATATTAATTTAGTAATTATCTTTTTCAGTATTCAATCTAAAAGATTATATATATTCATATGCATAGTATGTATAAGAAATATGTATGATACATGTGTATATATATATATATGGATTATATATATGGATATGTGTGCACGCGAGATATATATATATCTATATAGATACTAAAGTAATGTACATAAATATATGTGTATATATGTGGCACACACACACACACACACACACACACACACACACACACACACACAGATATTAAAAAAATCATTTTATTCTATTTTTAATATTGTATCTTTTTTTTATTATATGATATATATATTATTTGAAAAATCATTTTTATGTAATTTTATTTTATGCCTTTTTTTTTCTTATTCCTTTCATTTGTTATTTATATAATATTTTTAATTTTTCATTACAAAATATTTCAATAGTTCTTCTTTGATATGTGTTCAATAGTTCTTCTTTTATATCCGAAATTAAGTAATATATAATTATATCTAAGTAATGATAATATTTACTTAAATTTATAAAAATTTTATTTTATATTTATATATTTATATTTCTATTTATATTATTATATAAGTATTTTAGACATATATAATATATATATATATATGTGTATATATAATCCAACTGAGAAAATTTATTTTTTAAATATTTGTTATAATATTTAATATATATATATTTTACAATATAAAAATCAACATTTATTTATATGAATATTTCTTTATCTTATTTATGTATGTGTATATTGAAAAATTTTCAAACAAAAAATAAGAAAGATATTCTACTTAAAATTTAATTTTACTCAAAATATATATTTTGAACTGTCTATGTATACATATATATAACGATTAATTCAACTTGGGATAATAATAATAATTTTTTTATATATTTTAAATTTTTTCAGATTGAAGGAAGTGGCAGAAAAAATCAACAGATATGGATTTGTAACACTACCAGCATTTAGTGGATTGAAGGTTCCAGTAAAACATATTGTGGTTGGTCCAACACATATTGCTCTTCTTACAGAAGACCATAAAATTTGCAGAGTTGCATTTACAGTATTGTCAGATAGATTAGATTTGAGCAAAAATGAGCCAAATAGAAAGTGAGTCATTTTTAATTTATTGCAAATAACATTTATTATATTATTGTAATTTCATACTTTATTTTTTCATTGTTGTAGCACAAATAAAAACCATGTTGATAACTCTAATTCAGCACCAAATGGCGGTACTGGAAGTAGTGGAAGTGGAAATAGAGCAGGAATGTCTAGATCACGTGCCAGAATTATGCGTGGTAGTTCTGCAATTCGTGGAGGTAGTAGTAGTGGAGGAAACAGCAGTGGAGGTAGAATAGGTCCTCCAGGTGTAATTATGGGCGGAGGAAGTGGTAGCAGTTCGCGTCCTATCGCATCTGTACCTGCTCCATTTGTACCAGAAGATCTTATTACACAGGCTCAAGTGGTATTGCAAGGAAAAAGTCGTAATCTTATTATTAGAGAATTACAGGTTTGTTTGATTGATATATTTTTCATTATATTATTAAAATTGAAATTTAATTGGAGTTTTATTAATATATTTTTTATAGCGTACAAATTTAGATGTAAATTTAGCAGTAAATAATTTACTGTCACGAGATGATGAAGAAGGTGATGATGCCGAAGATGCAGCAGATACTTACGTTCCAGAAGATCTAATTTCGTTATTAGATGGTGGATTTAGCAATGAACATTCTGTAATAATTGATGCAGATTCTATGTTTCCTGAAGATATGTTTGGATATACAGGAATGAGAAAGTAATGATTTTTTAATTGCTTTATTTTTATTTAGAAGAAAAAATATATCTTTAATTTTTATATTTTTCTAGTCGAGGTAGTTCTTCCCGTAGAATAGGTAATGATAGAGAAGGTGAACGTACTTCTGAACGAGATCGAGACCGAGATAATTTTAGTAAATGGAGAGATCGTCAATATTGTGGTCCAAGACGTTGGCTGGAATCAGCACTTAAGGATTCTTGGGATAAAGATTCTGGTAAAATTAAAATTTTTGAAAATTATTTCTTTTTTCAATAAGTTTGTATCTTAATTGTTAATACTTTAATTTATGTCCAAAAAATTACTTAGATAATAAAAAGAAAGAACTAGCTTCTCAGAGTCCATTATGGATATCAGAAGAATTAGAATGGTGGCATGAACGCAGTAGCGATCTTGCTCCTCGTTTTATACAAATTGCTTCACTTTATAGTGAATTAATTGCTGTTTCTGCTGGAGGACAATTGTATCAATGGAAATGGTCAGAATCTGAACCATATAAACATCCAGAGGTGATTATTAAAATAATATATTAAAATAAATTTTATTTCAATATTTTATTTTGATATATTTTATATCGATAATGATTATAAAAAACAAAACTAACATTTATTATAGAATCCAAATATACATCATCCAAAAGCTCCATGGTTAGCAGTAACAACTGAAAAAATAGTTAATATATCTGCAACAGCTATTCGATGTTCCATTAGTACTGAGTCTGGCAAAGTAGCTACTTGGCTTGATGAACTTGTAGGGCATGTTGCTTCTCGTCTTGAACATCCTGCTCAAACTTTCACAGAATTTACATTGGATAAAATTGTGTCTCTTCATACATGTGCTCTATATACTGTTGCTAAACTCGAAAGTGGTGCATTATATTGGTGGTAAGATGAAAAATTATTCTTTTTAATTATTTTTATTTCAAAAAATTGTTAAATGTAATCTTATTATATAGGGGTGTATTACCTTTTGCACAACGTAAAAAATTATGGGAAAAATATAAGGCTAAATCACGAAAACATAGATCATCCACAGTATCATCAAATGATATTAGTTATGGTGCACATGTTTGTATGAAAAATAGTCCTATATATCATCCTGGAGCAATAGGTAATTTATTAAATATTATATTGTATCTAAAAAAATTTAAATCCAATATTGTATCTAAGTTTTAATACAATATAATTAAAAAAAATAT